TTTTTTTTAAAGCAAGTCAGACTGGAAATTTAAGTCCATTCACACTTCTACATAAATTACCTCTATCGGAAAACCAAACAAATTGCTTTTCTTTTTATGCTATCTCAGATCTCCTGTCCCAGGATATTTTTTTCAAGCAGTAGAGAAGAGGTGTGAGTTTCTTTGGGAGTCCTGCCCATTGGGATCTTGGTGTATTGGCTTGGGGAATAGAATGAGGGCATGGAAACACAATAGAAAAGTAAAGGCAAAACAGAGAAAACACTGAGAAGAAACTTTGTTTTATTTTCATTTAGGGTTTATGTTTAAGTTAGAAAATCCTTTCAAGAACATTCGTTGTAAGTTGCTGACGCCAGAACTAATGTAAAATAATAAGACCCGAATTTATGACTTTGTTTTGTACATCAATCATAATCACTGGATAATAAACAGAATCCTACATATCATTTGAACATTTGCCAAAGGCCCATGACACTTTGTGACCAAACAAGAATAAAAGGTAATATATAAGTTCTAAATATCTGACTTTTCTTGTGGTCTTAGGATTTTTTAGTCCAGGACTAGCGTTGGTTCTGTTTTTCAAATTTACTCATATTATTTAACTATGGTAACTAAGTGGTCTCAATGGTATAGTTGTAGAGAAAAAAATTTTTACCTTATTTTCAGGTTCTTCTAGCTGGACTAAGGATTAAATTGACATGAGACAGATTAACAGGAGAAAATCAAATTTAATTTCATACATACAGGGAATACACATAAATATGAGATTCCAAAGACTGGCAAAATGATGTGTATATGTCATTCTGGACTAAAGAGAAAGGGATAATGTCTGGGACATTAAATGGAAGGAATCAATTCACAGGAAGATAAAAATAAGTAAATGTTTGGCAAACAAATGTTTGCTGAGCCATTCAGAAATGATGGGACATAGAGAGGACTTTGGTCAAAGGGGCTTTGCTAAGTTGCTTCCTAAATACCACAGCTATATCATATGCAACTGTAGTTATCTATGGTGATGGCTCTTTTCCTAGAGTAGCTCCTCCATCTAAATTCTTTTAAGCAACTGTGGGGGTTGGGAGGGGTGGGGTTTGAGTTTCTTCCTGAGTCTTTTGGGCCTTGATTGTTTTCAGCCTGGCATAATCTACATGCCAAAGTGGCCCATATCGGGGTGGCCCACCCTTGACCCAGACTCTACAATAGCCAGAGTTCATGGGTCAGTGTCTGTGGTAATGTAATGAATAAGGTTTCTACCCCCCCCTTTTTTTTTTATAAAAAAGAAGATTGAAGAGAACACTGCCACCTTTTTCATTATGTATAGCTCATTAGTTCCCTTGTCAACTTTTCTTTGCTTTTAAACATTTGAAGGAAAAAGGCTTCACAGATTTTCAGTAGGAAACATATGGAGCTGTAACTCATCAGTAATGTGTGAACTTAATTTAAAGGTGCAGCTGACCTTGACCATGCATCCTTCCCAAGTTGCCTCTTGTAAATCCTGTGATCAATAAATGAAATAGTATTTCAGCCCCTTCACAACTCACCTTCAAATGTCTGTTTCCCCACAGATCATCTAAGCTTCCGTAAAACTTCCCCTCCCACTCTGTAACAGTAACCAATCCTTTTTATATTACAAGTTTCATAAAAGAAAGGTTTAGCATTTGTCCTCAATATTAAGTTATGACTAAAATAATGAGTTAACAGATTGATATTTTAAGAAGTCCAACTCTCTTTAAATATCTAAATAAATGCTGCATCCATCTAAGGAGTCACTGTGAGTGGCAGCATATTTATTTCAAGGGTTTTGCCATTGCATGTAGGTTATTGGTGTTCCTTTGGAATGGCATTTAGAATCTACTTGCAAGTTTCAATACTTTACAGTTAAGCCCTAATTTTCATTATTTACTCAAGTGAAGCTTTCTCTTCATCAGCTTTTAAAAAATAAACAATGGTATTGAACATCCACCAGTATATTTCTTTTTCTCTGTATGTATTTGTGAGGGTGTTGGGAAGGGTAAAAGATTGGAGATGGGTTGATGCTGGATATGAGACTGGATGAGATTTTATATTATTAATTTGGATTAAAATATGCCTGGAACTAACTTATCTTGGGCCTTTATACTCCTTTTTTGTCTCTTGGGTGTGGGGTATCAGGGTACATTTAGGGTCATCCTAACTCTTAGAAACATCATGGGCTTAAGTAGAATGAACTTTATTATTTTCAAAGTATATTAAAACATTGCAGGATGTTGGCTAAGTAACTTGTAAAACTTACTTGTTTTACTATAAGGGAATAATGAGATACCTTTCCACTTTGTTCCTTGGAATAAGGGAGACAAATATTTAATATTTAAGGATAAAAGATTTTTTTTTTAAAGAGAGCTAACTGTAAAATAAGTAAACTTTAAGTTCTCAGGTTGGAAGAGGCATTTAATGTATTGAAACTTACTGTTAAAAGAGGTAGAAATTACATTAATAAAAATAATTCTTTCAACTAAAGATTTTTTTTCCTCAATTCTATTTTGAGTGTACTTTAAGCTCTCAAGTATACTATTAAAATGTTATATTCATTATTTGGAAAACAGAATTGAAACCTTATCCATTTAATCATTGATTTTTATATGAGGACAAGCATATATTCCTGGAAGGGGGTAAATTATGAGGCTTAGAGAGATTTTTTTCAAAATGCTTTCCTACCTTCCCAGCCTCCTCCAGATCTGATATGCCTCCTCCTGTTGCCTTCACTTCTCTTGTGTGGAAAATCATACTGTGCACATGCAGTGTTTCTGAGTGGATTATGTTCTGCAAATAAGCTTTCTAACATTGAGGAAATATTGAGAACCAATGAATTAAACCATACCTATCTAAAATACATTGAAAAATAGTAAGAGGTATACAATAGAATTTAATATTCATTGATTAACACTATAGCTGGGGTTTTCCCCTAAAAGATTATTGACTTTTATAATTAGGAAATATATATTGAAAATCTAAAACAATTTCTCTTGAAATTGTAATAAAACATATATATGTTGGTTGGATCTTAAACACTGGGCAAAAGTAGAATGAAATGCCTATGCTTATTTAAAATAGGTATAGACAAGTTTCAAATGATTCTGCATATAAACTTGCTGATATGCAGAATTCTAAATGAGGCCAGTTATAGCTTTCATTCTTTGGACTAAATTCAAAATTCTGTTACTTTCACAGTATTACAGAAAAAAACTAAATGTTTTTAGTTTCATTCAGTCCACACCCAATTTGAAGGACTGCTGTCAACAATGTCAAAAACATGTACTGAACATTTAATAACATTCCTGATATGATAAAGAGAATCTGGGGTAATTGTATACCATAGTCTGGTTGCTGAACCCATTTCATACTTTTCAAATAAAACTAAGCTACCACTAGTTTCTTAAAGGTCTTTAGAAAAATTGACTGCAAGAACATGATTTGATCATAGAGCAAAATATGCCATTTTTTATAGTGCATTCAAAATGGAGGTAGTTATGTTTATTTTTAGATGATATTGTGATTTATTTTCTATATAAGTAAAAAAAATACTGACAATGTAAAAACACAATGTAAAATCAATTTAAAAAGCCCCAAAATACTTTTTAAAATTTGTTCTGAAGATAAAAAAAAATAATTAAAAATGTTGTAACTTTTGGGGCACCTGGGTAGCTCAGTTGGTTAACCATTTGACTCTTAGTTTTGGCTCAGGTCATGATCTCACGGCTTCGTGGATTTGAGCCCCACATTGGGCTTTGTGCTGGCATTGTTGAGCCTGCTTGGTATTCTCTCTCTCTCCCTCTGTCTCTGCCCCTCCCCAATTTGTGGTGTCTCTGTCTCAATCAATCAATCAATAAAATGTCATAACTATCTAAATCAGAAGGTGCCATTGTACAAGGTGTTTATCTTCACAATTAGAACCAAAATGCTTAGTAATGCTACTTTAGTTTATATATACCTTCAAAAAGTATTCATGCCCTTTATCTCCCTGTTCTTTTATCTTCCTCATTTTCTTTTTCTTTTTCTTTTTTTTAAGATAAACAGTCAGGTAAACAATCACTGATGCGGTTTTATAATAAATTATGACACCAGTCTGTTTTATCTTAGTACGTATGAACAATGACCTTTTCTTTGAGAATATTTAAAGCATTCCTGGAAAGAAATTATATATATATGTATATATTTTTAAATGGCTCATATATTTCCAAGTACATCCAGGAGACAACAAACAATTTCTTTGATGTATGATATATCAAACAAATTACTTAAGTGACTTTCGTTTATCTTAGCCTAAAAGACAATAATAGTATTTCTAATGAGCTCAAAGAACAACGACATTAAAAATGGAGAAACTAACATTGAAGTTATAAAATAAATAAAGTCATTCTATCACACAATTTCTATGTATTCAAATACATTAAATGCTGGCTAAGTAATACATGAACAGGTAATTTTTATCTTTAAAATTTGGAAGGATTAGCTAAGAGGGAAAAATGTTTTAATTTTTAAATTAAATTTTTAATTTAATTTTTAAATTAAATTTT